AACGTTATAGATTATGCAATAGGCTACAACTTTCATGTTTTGACTTTTGCTTGAATCCAAATGAATCTTGGTGAGAAAGTGGGACAAAGTTAGGAAAAATTAGGGTTTTTCATAACTTAGAAAAATTCTAAGTTATGAAAAATCTTCATTTCAAACCCTAATTTGCATTTCTTGATTTCTTGATGAACAAGTTTCATGATTTGGCATATTTTTATGAAAAATGAATCTTGACACTTGATTTTGACCAAAAAGTCAAAGTTTGACTTTTTAGTATACAGTCAAAATTGATCAATTGACTGGGAAATTCAACTGTCAATCTTGTGCACTTGGGGTCTTTTGAACTTGTTGAGCATGTCAAGACAATTCCATGGGGTCCCTGAGTCCATATGTGAGCTTGGTTTGCCATTGGCTAGGTCAAACAGTCAAAAATTGCCTTTGTGCAGTCAAACCCCTAAAAATGACCATTTTGCCCTTTTGATGATCTGATCAAATTTCTTGTGGAATTGTGATCCAAACTTGATCAAATGGTCCATGTGAGTTCATAATGTTGATGTGGGTCAATTTTCATGAGATTTGACTGTCAATTGGCCACAGTTGACTTTTTCCAATACAGTTGATTTCTAGGTCAACTGTCCAATTGACTGGGCAACATTTGGAATCAGGACTTGAAATTTGGTATGGATAAACTTGGGAGTCCAACATGAAGCATGAAAGTCATCTTAGGCATTTTAGGTCAAAATATCTTTGTTCAAACACAAACCCTAATTTGGGTCAACAGTGCAAGGAGAAGTCTTGAGCAGAGGAAACCCTAATTGTATCTTGAGCTCCAAGGGTTTTGTGATGAGAAAATGTTGAGGAAATGGGAGGGAAAATTTTGGGGTACAACACCATCCAGGGCACATCTACATAAAGAGTTTGAAGATCAACTCTTGTAACCGGCCAGGTAATTATTTTCTTTCTCAGGTACGCAAGTTCTCGCTAAGGAATCTCTTACGCGATCGACACCCAGATGGCATCTATAAGCCCATCCCCCTATCCATCATCTTTCCAAATGGCATCTGTAAGCCCATTCCCGCCATCACACTGCTGACATGCTACTATGTGAGTGCAAATTTCTGGGCACTCTAGTGTTCGATCATCTTCCACCTTTAGATTACGAAAGGCACGCAAGCCAATCTACATCCTCAGGTCTAAGAAGATTGAACAGGGGCAACTGTTGTACCCCAAAATTTTCCCTCCCATAATCTTCAAAGTTTTGCCAAGCATCACTTCAAATGGTTCAAAGTCTACTCAAGGGCTACACAGTCAACCATTCTCCTAAAGCCAGACAAATTAGAGTTTTGGTTCTTGCAAGGAAGTTGAAGTTTTCAAGGACTCAATCAAGTCACATATGCTCATACACATTGTCAAACACCTACATGTCAAGTTTCAAGGCTCACAAGGTCAAGCTGCACAGTCAAAAACCCTAATTGCTCCACAGTCAACTGCAGAGGCAAAATGGTCATTTGGCAGTCAAAAGTCAAAAATTTTGGTCAACATCTTATTTTGAAGCCACAATCATCATTTGGTCAAGTCTTGACCATGATTTCACAAGAATGGCTCAAAATTCATCAAGATGCAAAAGTTTCTATTTTTGGGCAGCTGAAAAGTCAACTGTAACTTGACCAAGGCATAACTTTTTCATGGTTCATCAGAAAAATCCCATCCAATGCTCATCTTGAAGGGGAGGACATTTCCTACAACTCATCTTCACATTCCAAGTCCAAGAAATTCTCTCACAAAAAGTTATCAATTTCAACATTATAGGTCATTTTCAAAAGTCAACAAAAAGGCACTTTAAGTCAAAGACCATAACTTGAGATTGGTAAATCAAAATGACATGGGACAAAAAGCATTGGTTAGAGGACTTCAATACCTTTCCAAAATGTCCAAGAACATGTTCATAGCTTCAAAATTGAGCAAGATATGCATTGGAGAAGTTGGGAAATTTTTGTGAAATGGCCAAAGTCAATTATCCTTGAAATTTCATTTTTGACAAAAGGGGCCCACTTTTTCCACTTGTTTCAGCTTGGCCATGCTTCCCAAGTGTCCCACAAATTATTTCAAGATTTAAAATTAATTTTCCCATTTTTATTTAATTTTATTTGATTTAATTCATTTTAAATCTTTTAAAATCAAATAAAAATCAAAGAAGTTAATTAAGGGATATATTTTGTATTGAAATGCTTTGATACACCATCATGACCATTCCAAATTCATGCAAGGGGCTATTCCAAGCAAGAATTCAAATTTTGACACAAAAATGGAAAGTGTTTCAATGGAGGTTATGGCAAATCTCAAACATGAATGCATAAGGTTAATGGCCATAATTCTGATTGATATCCTTTACATAACCTATATGCAAGCTATCACAAGACAATTCACGACCTAAAAAGCTCAGAAAACCAAGAACCAATTTGCAATTTTTCATTGAAAACTTGAACACTGAAATCCTAGTTACTGCACGATTCAAAGCTCCAAAAGCATTCCAATACATTGCTAAGACATCAAGGAAGCTTTTGCAATCAAAAATCAATCCAAACGTGCCCAGAATCTTAGAACTCAGGCCAAACGGTTTGCAATATTTTCCTGAATTCTATATCATCATTCATGCGCTTTTAACATTATTTTTGAATTGATTTATACTCATAGGGACATTCTGAAGCTATTGGTAGCATTTGATTGAACTAACGATGCGTGTATCAGAATCCACCATTGTCAAAAGCTAGGTTTTTCAGAGCTCCAAATTGGGGCTTTCCCCATATGGAAAAATTGGAACCCCAAACACCCATGGTTGAATTGAGAAGGACAAGACGAATCAAAAGAACCCCTCGCGCTCAATTTATGTTGCTTCCTCTCCTAATCGCTATTTTTCGCTATGTCACTTAGTGGGGGTTTAAAACCCCCGCTATCTCATTCATGTTACAGGTACAAACGGAGAAGAAGGCTGAGGTGTCCAGGCGTGAATGGAAGATTCAAACCGTGCGCGTAATTTTTTTTTGTTTTATATCATTAACATTATTTCTTACATATTGTTTGTTTTCCACTATTGTTACAAACGCGTGCAATGGATCAGATGGTAGGAAGGTGGTTTGGTAAACGCTGGGACCTGGGTTCGATTCCCAGGTCCCCCATATAATTCATAATATTTTTTCTAACACAATCTCATGCAGCACATGCCCAGAACTCCACCATGCGTCCTCATACATCAGTGTGCCATGTGTCCCCAGCTCTCATCCAGTGGCCATAGAATGAAGTCCATGATGCACCCTAGTCAGCAAGCAAGCGCATGATCAGGAAAAGTCAACGAGGCCTTTGCCTCAATGGGCCAAGATTCAACATCAAACCCCCATTCCTGGCCCAGCACCCCCTCCATTTGGGTTATTATTTTCTTTTCATTTTATTTTTCAATTTAATTTCTAACCCTTTTTTTATTTTATTTATTATTAGTAATTAATCAATTAACCATTTTCATAAAAAAACCCAAAAATTGAACTAATAGTATTTTTATTATTATTATTTTATTTTTGTAAATAAATCTCAAATAAATTAATCGTAATTAGGCCATTTTAACTTTTTCTTAAAATAACTAAAATAGCTTAGATTTAGGTTAACGTTTAATTTTGTTTCTTTTCTTTCTATTTCATAAAAACATAAAAAACAATTCCTTGTCTTAATTAAATAATTAATTAGCTTTCTAATTCCATTTAATTTCAAAAGGGTCCAACGCCCTCGAACGTGCAACTTTAATTCTTTCGCACATTTATTCTTATTTTTTCTTTCAAATATTATGTAATTGCTCAAGCCTTGTAATAGTAACTAGGTTTTACTTTCCGCATTTTTATTAAAACGGGTCTTTGTAATTTGGCGATGTATAGACCCGCGCCTTGTAATAGCGTAGGATTTTACTTTCCGCATTTAAATTTCCGCACTTTTAAATTCTGAACTTTGCATGAAAGAATGTATGGCCTAAATTAAAAACAAGCGTAGATCACCATGATACATATACAAGATAAAACATAACATGAAAATAACACACAAATTCACACACCACTCTTAGGGTACGCCTCACTGTTGCCTTGCCCTCGAAACGTGGTCGTCGAGTATAGGACGTTTTAGTAAGTCCTTATGTCCATGACATGATCCAGTTGCCTCGAAACGGTTTCCTCAGAATCAAAAAGGATCAATGGCATAAGGGTAGCTTCTAAGGTGTCCTACTGTTGCTCTGGTGACCACATTGTCCCTTATAATCGAATTGACCCGAATACCTCCAACGACGGTGCTACGTACTTCTCAACAGTGGGATAGCACTGTTTAAAGGACTCTTACACAACCTAATTCCTTAGAGTAGGTAGATCTCATGGGTACTTGCTCTCTTCAAAAACAAACAAAATACTTTTCACACTGACACTTTCAAAAAGTTTTCAAACAAATTTTTCATACACTCTTGAGGACCGATACAAGAGTTACTTAGAAATTTTTCAAACGAAACTTTTTTCAAAACCCACACACACTTGAAAAGCAAACAAATTTTGAAAACATAAGAGCAAGTACCTAAGAGCCCGTGGATAACCACGGATAGAAAGGGTGCTAACACCTTCCCTTTCTATAAATCTACCTCCTGAACCGAGAAACTATCTCATAAGGAATTTTGTTGTGCTTTTGTCCTGTCCATGTTGGAGAAAATAAAAGACGGTGGCGACTCTTGCTTCTGCGATATTTCGCGAAACCAGCTAAAAATAGTCAGTTCTAAATCCATTGATCATAGAACTGGCGACTCTGCTGGGGACACTTTTAAAGTGAGGGGTACCTTAGGATAGCTCACACTTGTGTTTTCAATTGTTGTGTTTGTTTGCTTTATTATTGTGGGCTGCATCGGAGTTACATAGATCCTAACCCGGATCTGGGGATACCCTGTTAGGTAGCATAAGCTGTGAGGGACCTGTCCGGCGTAGACCGACATGGGTGAAGCAGTGGATACGTTGGTGTGGCACCTTGGTCTGTACCGATATCCCTTGTGTCGCAACGAGGAGAATATGGGTCTTCTGAGGAGTCATTAAGCACCAACCGACCTTAGAACCCTAATTGACCCAACTTGGCCAATAGAACAGTAGCAGTATGCTACACCCATTGAGGCTAAACTCTCGCGATGGTTCTGGCCGCATGAAAAGATTGAGATGCTGGAGTTATGACTGATTGAGGGTAGTCAGTGATATTGGGATCCTCTAGAACCCGGTTACTTCTGATAGGACGGGTCTTAACCAACAAACTGAAAGAGGGTAATACCTAGACCCCATGCTGGCCTAAACTCTAAGGGCTTGTCTTGTGTGACTTGTGTGTCTTATCATGTTTGCCATATGTACCAACTAACCCCACTATTCCTCATGTGGCTCAAATAGGCAGTAGTGGTGTGCAATCAAATGATCAAGAACATGAAACACAACAATTTTGCACTCAAGGTAGCGTAGAAACTATTAACCTTGGTGAAGAAGTTGCATCTGCATCGGTTGCGAAAACGCCTAAACAAAGGTTCCAACAAAAAGAGGATGAAGTTCTCATTCAATCATGGCTCAACGTTTTAAAGGATTCAATTGTTGGGGTTGATAAAAAAGGATATGGTTTTTGGAACAGGATTGGCGAAGCTTACAACAAGCATTGTGACACCAATTACAAAGAGAGCAAACCGATGGCACTTAAAGGTCGATGGCACAAAATTAATCCATCTGTTCAAAAGTTTGTTGGATGCTACAAACAAGCTGTGTCTACACAACAAAGTGGAAGCTCCAAGAGCAATATCATGCAAGCTGCATATAAAATTTATTTTCAAGATGAAGGTGAAAAGTTTATATTTGAGGCTGCATGGAGATTATTGAAAGATGAACCTAAATGGCTCGCGGGTTCATCGGAAGCTTCTACAAAAAGAACAAAGAATTCAGCTTCAGGAGCATATTCTTCATCTTCTAATCCACCGACACCAACGAGTAGCGGATACAATCCACCATCGCCTACTTTGTCACGTCGTCCAATCGGTCAAAAGGCAGCCAAAAGGAAAGAGAAGGAAAAGTTTATTGAAATGTCAACTACTCCCAATGTCAAATATGAGTCTTTGAAAGATGACTTTAAAAAAAAATTGATTTGATGTCAACGTTTGCACGAGACTATGCACGCATTGAGGGTGAAAAAGTTGAGATAGAAAGAAAAAAAGGTTGATGCAAAGATTAAGAAGGCTGAGAGTGCGGAGGAAAGATTGAAGATGAATGATCTGCAAATACTCTCCAAAGATACATCAAATATGAATACACGACAACTACAAGCTCATGAAATATTGTGCGACATGATTAGAGAAAAATATGGAATTAATTAGTATGATTATGTATTTTGGGTTTAATTAGTAGGATTATGTATTTTGGACTTAATTAAAATAATTATGTATTTTGGACTTTATTAGTATGATTATGTATTTTAAATTTAATTGGTATGGACTTAATTAGTAAGATTATCTATTTTTAAATTTTGATTATTCAAACTAGCCGTTATTCAAAGTCAAACTAGTCGTTATTCAAACTAGCCGTTATTCAAAGTCAAACTAGCCGTTAGAAACTAGTCCTATAAATAGTATTAACATGCACACTAAGCTTCATAGATTTCTCAACCTTTTTCATTCTATAGAATTTTTTATCATCTTCCACTCAATATCAAACTTCTTTTCACATGGATCCTTCCAATCCTTCCCATATCGCAAAAATGTTCATGGATTATATGAATGATGATATGGATGAAGAACTTGTGAGGTTGGTTATGGAAGAAGAAGCCTCGAGCTCTAAAAGGCCTAGACGTCAAAGAAGGAATATAGAGAGGAATCGTGAAGATGGACATGATCGATTGTTCAATGATTATTTTTCACAAACTCCGATATACACGAATGAGCAGTTTCGTCAAAGGTACCAAATGCATAAACATGTGTTCCTTCATATGGTTGAAGCTCTAGGTCAGCATGATGAGTATTTTCGAATGATGGTTGACGCAACTGGTAGGTCAAGTCTTTCACCATTACAGAAATGCACTGTTGTTATCCGTATGTTGGCATATGGTACATCTGCTGATAGTGTGGATGATTATTTGAGAATTGGTGAAACCACAACACTAAAATGTGTTGATAAGTTTACAAAAGGAGTGATCAACATCTTTGGGCCATAATATTTGCGAAGGCCAAGCGCCGAAGACATTGAACGCCTAATGCGAATGGGAGAGGCGCGAGGATTTCCAAGTATGTTAGGGAGCATCGATTGTATGCACTGGGAATGGAAAAATTATCCGGTTGCATTGAAGGGGCAGTATGTTCGAGGCGATCATGGGAAACCAACTGTTATGCTTGAAGCAGTGGCTTCACGAGACTTGTGGATTTAGCATGCATTCTTTGGGGTAGCGGGTTCAAACAACGATATTAATGTGTTGAACCAATCTAATGACTTCAACGATGTTCTACAAGGACGAGCTCCCGAGGTTCACTATACAATCAATCGTACTGAATACAACAAGGGTTATTATTTGTCAGATGGTATTTATCCTGAATGGGTCACGTTTGTGAAAAGTATTGTTTGCCCAACATCAAGAAGCCGCGAGAAAGGATATTGAACGAGCATTTGGAGTTCTTCAATCCCGATTTGCGATCATACGTAACCTAGCACGATCCTGGCACTTAGACACACTCCAGCGCATAATGAATACATGCATAATATTACACAACATGATTGTTGAAGATGAACGTTTCACATATGGTGGAAAATTTGATTTTTCTTATGATCATTTGAGCAATGACGCGACAACATTGCCGAATGATTCTAATATTGATTTTCAATAGTTCCTACGTAGAAGATTTGATGTTCGTGATAAACAAATTCATCGACACCTTCAACATGACTTGATAGAACATATATGGCAATGTTATGGACCAGAGAATATTAACAATTGAAACATGTTTTAAATATATCGTTTTCTTGTATTTTATTATAGTAATTTATTCTAACGTTTATGTTTTTTAATGTATTTTTTAAGTAATTTATTTTAACGTTTATGTTTTTTAATATATTTTTAAGTAATATATTTAATTATTTATTTATTTAAATTTTATTTCATTTTAAATGTACAATTCTTTTTAAACGTATTTTGATATATTTGAATTAAATTGTTTCAATTATATATTTTTTATAATAATAATAATGTGAAATATATTGTAAGATTTGGTGGGATCCATTTTAAAATTTTTGATGGGTTGTATGGATATTTAAAAAATATAGTTGACTTGTTTAGAAAATGTGAAAATGTGATATAATATAAAAAATTAAGTGGGTCCTATTTAAAGAACTCATGAAGAGATGATGGATGTGGATGCTCTAAGGCTTCATAGTGAGACAAAAATCTCAGATGACTCTCTCTTCTTCACGAAACGGCGCCACGACTAAAATCCACTCTCTTTTCTGGAAATCTCCGTCGTTCAACCACAAACATTACACCTTATCTCTGATTCACACTCTCCATCTTCATCTTCGTTAAACCTATGACGTCTACCAATCTCGCAAACATCATAGTCCCAAACTCTCCGTTAATCTGTCGTGCTCACACTTGAGTTCGCCACAGTCGATGCCTTATTCACACTCTCCGACGAACACAATCACAACACCGCCGTGTTTTTCTTTTGATTCCACGTCATTCGCTTCGTTCTAATTTTCCGCGATACTTTCAGTTCTCCGAAGAATCCCTCACTCTCCCAATCAAATCTGCATCATGACAAGATCAACAAGCTCCTTCGTTCTTATCTCGAACTTCCAATTCATTTTGGTTTTAACACGAATATGAATCAATGGTGCAAATGATAAAGAAGATGGAAACACCAATATTTACTTGCCGGAGAGCATCCGACACACCTTTAATTCGTAAACTCAGGTATGTTCGTGTTTCACACTCCGATTCTCCCCCCTCTCTTCTTCTGATTCACTGATCAGTTTTCCTCTGCGCTTTTGCGTTTTTACGATCGATGATGACGATACGAACGCGATGCAGATTGATGACGATACACTAGGTTGATGATGTTAATTTGTGCCGTTGTTTCGAATTTTTGATGTAAAGATGGAGGATGCGAGCGTTGTTGACGACGAAGGTCGTGAATGATGATGATAAAGGAGTAGTGATGTTGTGATGCTGATGAAGAACAATGCCAAAGAAGCTGTGCAGAAGCGGTTATTGTAGAAGAAAGTCGAAGATTGGTGATACGGTTGAAGAAACTTGAAGGTTGTGAATTCATTTTTGTTGAATTTGTTGCGTTCTTGCAGATTGTTAGAAGATGAATATGACGCGGATTTGCAAGAATTTAACAGTCTTCTTCTTGGCGACTCTTCAATCCAAATGAAGAATTGATGAAGATGATGAAGTAGAGAAAGTTGAGAGGATTTGATGGTGATTCTTCAGTAATTGGAGAATGAGGAAGGTCGATTCTGATTTTAGAGAGAGAGTGATTTTGAAGAATGAAGAGCCCCTTCTCCATAGGGTGAAGAATATTTATATAGATTTGAGAGGATGAGATTTAGTTAGGAGTGGAGGAATCTTAGCCTTTGAATTGAGGAATTTGGTTGCAAAACGAAGGGTAAGATAAGAGGTTAGTTATATCTGTTTATTCTGTTATGCTCAGTTTGTTTAGAGGGTGAGAAACGGTTAGGTTAGTTAGAGGTGGTTAATGGGAGGTTAGAAATTCTGTTAGAGTATTCTGTTAGAGTATTCTGTTATGGAGGTTATAAGTTGTTAGGAGATGGTTACAGGGCTGTTAGGAGATGGTTACGATTCAGTTAGTTCATTTTCTCCTTTTTTTAAAAGCTTTTCTTCTTCATGTCCATTTGACCCAGATAACTCTCTCAATTGATAACTTTGCTTCATTGAGATTTGATACCTCAGTGTCCTTTTCAGTGTTAACCAGAATATCACCCTCATTCTCCTTTTTCTGTGTTGATTTCCACGAGCTGATGTTGGAGATCCTCAATCACTTTCTTCAAAGCAGCCTCCTCTTCTCTTTTTTCAAGAAGGTAAACATTGGCAACTTTGGATATAATTTCTTGAGAATTTTCTCCTTTAGTAATATTTCTGTTATTTTTAGCAGCAGCCTGTTCGAAGTCATTGGTTCTGAAACTTATGTTAGTATTAGGAACTATTATGCTGTTAGAAATTCTGCTTGGTCACTAGATCTTCTTTGAGTTTTCTGGTTTCTGTTAGCTGTTTTGAACATGTTTTTTAATTATCTAGTTTTGGCAGCATGAACTATTCCAAAGTATTTTTATATTTTTGGTAGTGAAACTAATCTGGTTTTGTGCATTTGATTAATTGGCAGGCCATATTGCATTCTTCAAGGTGTTGGAAATTCTCTCTTGATATTCAATAAATCAGCAATAAATTTTTTATGCTCACTTAAATCTTCCACTGCTTTTCTTAGAGCATATTGGTACTCTGTAAGTATTCGTTGCATTTCTTCATTTTGTTGCCTCTCATATTTGACTTGACTCTCGTACTCGGCTGTCACCTTCTTGAGTTGTTCTTTCAAAACTTCAAGCTCCTTTTGCATATTCATTTCAGCTATCTTTGAAACTTTCAACAAATTTTTCAATTGTTCATTAGAAGCTTGTAGATTGTGCTGGACTTTGATCTTACATTCTTCCTCCACTTTTGCTCTCTTATTTGCTCTTTCAAGGGAAATCTCATTTTCACTTTGAGCTGCCTCATATGCTTGACGGACCCTTTTTAACTCTTCTGATTTTCTAATGCAGGGCTATATCATAGTTTGTATAGTTTGATCCAATGGTCCATGGTGCAAAGCTGAAACTTAGCATAATATATCAAGATGCATTGAATTTGGAGGCATGGAGTTTGACACGAAGCTCATAGAATTAAGATATTCATTAACTTGCAACATTTTTATAGTTCTCTTTTAAATGCGACACAGGTGATATGGCTGGTTTTTGGATGTAATTGAATTTTGGTTTATAGACTTTGATGTAATATATTCATAAGTTGGATTGAAATTGTCACTTTTATGTAATTTTGAATGGTTGAAAGTGTATATGTTCTTAGTTCTTGATTTTGTAATAGCCATGGTTGAATCAAGAAAAGAGACTTTGAATTAATTCACTTGTCTTTGAATTTATTCTCTTATGCTTACATCTTCTCAAAATGTATCTTGAATGATTCGCGATCCCTTATTTAACCTCAAGTTCAAAATCTTCTTTTTGTATCTCAAACATAATCCAAATTCTAAGCAAAGTCGATTGATGAATCACTTATATTATGAGTACAAGAAAACTAGGAAAATTATCCACAAGCCCT